GTTTTTGTACGTAGTATGACAGTTATACAAACTCTCAAATAGTTGTACATTTCCGATTTTAACCAAAAAACTAGTAATAGTTATATTAAATATGTATTTATGTAGTTGAACTTTTCACAAGTACTAGTTAATTTGTTGCCCCATTATTTTCATGTAATCAGATTTCGTTTTCGCTTTTTTACGTTCTGTTCGATGCCTTATGTGGTTACGTGAAGTCTTCATAGAACTATGATGTGTATTATGAGAAAACTTGTTTCAAAGTTCAAAGATTTATAAATTGCATATTTTGGCTAGTTTAAATGTTAATCATAACATAACTATGGATACAATCTACGAGAATGTAATCAATTTCATATAATTTGGTGTATGTGAAATCGATTTCATGGTTATTGTAATTTGAAATTGGTTTACCGAACCGATAAATACTAAAATCTAGAACCAAAACAGACTGTATTCATATATTTTAATAATATATTAACTGAGAATGTCTGAAAAAGGTCATGTTTGATAAAGGTATAGTTATCTACTCCACTTACTCTATCTGGCCCACAACCCTTTATCTGATAAAGTAAAAATTAACTGATTGTAACTGATACGTGTCTATTTCTTACAAAAGGTCATTTTCCGATTAAATGAAACATAACATTCTCACTCGTTTTCCATAATTGTTAAAAAAGCATTGGACACATAAAGTTTTCTTTATTTTTAGCACGAGCGAACAAACAAACCCAAAACCAAGAGCTGAAAATAGTTGAACATAGTTGTACCAAGTTATTCATACTATTACAAATTAAAATTGTTAACTCTTGTGAGACCATAGTTGTAACGTTTTTCCCCTTCTGACAATGCTTCTGATTTTTGATATTTTTATTTTTTTTATCCATTACAAATTTGTAATAGTTTCCGTTATTTCACCCCATTTCAAATTTCAAATCCATATTTGAAGATATCTCTCTCCTCTATCTCACATTTCCATCTGAAACTCTCTCTCCTTTCTCTCTCACCGAAAACCCTCTCTTTTAAGATTTTGTCAGAATGACAAACAACATGCTTTTTCAGCTACAAGATGTGTTGATTGATATATTCTTAAGGGTAGGGAGAGAGTCTGCTGCTGATGCTGTTTCATTTGGTTGTACGTAGAAGGTTCTAAGTCAGATGTTGAAAGATCCATAAGTCATCAAGGTGTTGAACCTGTCTGAATTCGTTAAGCACCCCCGTTTAATTGCTCGCTCCGCAGATTTCTTTGAGTCGGCGGTTTGTCATGGTAATCCATACGCCTTGTACCTTTGTGGCATGAGCAGAATGGTTCTCGATGTTGAGATCGACAATTTAGTGCTTTTTTTTTAACCGGGCCTCTAAGGCGGGAATTGATGCGGCGACAGTCATGATGGCACCACCGCATATGGTTTCTATCCAAGGGGCCTGGAGTTCCTAGACCGTATCGATGGTTGGAAATCACGGAGGATGTACATGGAAGAACTGGGGGATCAAGTAATGAACACTATGTTGATAATGGTGAATGATGGTTTCCAATATCTGCAAGCAGTCTTGACCGATTTCCCTGCATGTCGATTCCAGCACTACAACAAGTCTGTGAGCTCTGCTTCCTCTACATGCATTACCAATGTGCGAAGAATTTACTAGTTCTGTAACTGCCTACTAGCTGGGAATGGCTACATATCCGTTGGAACTAGTTATGTTTGTGTTATTGATTAGTTAAAAACTCCATATTCTGCGCATTCCCCTCAGGATTAATGGCATTGAAATTTGGATCCCTGCCTTCATTCCCCTGAGTATTACCATGCCCATTCCCCTTAGGATTACTGGCATACCTGCCTTCATTCCCTTCAGTATTACCGTGCTCATTCCCAAATGCATCCTGAGTATTACCCGGCCTTTTCTTACGCTTACTACTTGGTCTAGGCCCAGGCTCTCTAACCGATGCAAATCTTCTCTGTTGCCTTCTTCCTGGTTTTTTCGGGACCTCATGTGGTTTTGGGGCAGTCTTTTTTTTGATATCATCTGGAATTACCCATTGTGAACGATGAGGAACAGGGTATATTGTCCTGGCATATGCAACTGTCAATATCAGTAGTATAATACTTCGAGCACAAATCATGCGAGTGGATGTCCTCACTTCTATATTCCCTGGCCATAAAAATTGTTGGGGTCGGTTTCATCCCAAGCGGATAAAACCATCTCAAAAATGACTAAGTACTGGAGAAAACCGATTTGGCAAGAAGGAACAGCTGCCCGCCGAATATGGGCCGAGCCGTCCCACAAAACAAGTGGGCCGAGCTGTGCTCACCAAGATGAGTGGTCCGAGCCGTGGAAAAAGATAAATGGGCCAAGCCGTGAGAAGAACAAAGAGTGGGCCGAGCTGAGCAAGAGGAAGAATGGGCCGAGCCGCTTTTCTTCATGTTGGGCTGAGCCAGTCCTTCTTTAATGAGATGAGCCAAGATCGTCAAGGACCTACGCCCATAAAAACCATAGGCAAAGTGCTATGGCGGCGGCTGCACGAAGCGATAAGGAAATATTCCGAAAATCTTTCCCGAGATTCTCGGCTAGGCGGTTCATAGACTCTATATAAATAGTCGCTGTAAACAATTCATGATGTAATTTTTCACAACTCGAGAGCAATAACACTTAAACACTTTTCAGCAAAAACCTTCTTTTGATCGTACTGTTCTTGCGATAAACCCTAGAAATTTCGGATCCCTTAAGTTTTCCTTAACAAATTTTTGGTTGTGTGAGTTTTGGCTCACACAATTTGGCGCCGTCTGTGGGGACGAGAAACTTTCTGACTCTAAAATCGACAAGACTTTAAGATCCCAAGAACATGGCAAGCAACACCCTCGACGATAACAACAACAACAACAACAACAACGATAACGGCGCGGAGAAGGACGCTCTAGCATCAGGCACAACGACGGCGACGACCGAAACCCAAGAGGAGATGCAAAACATGATGGCTGCGTTGATGAAGAAGATCGACGAGCAGGACAAAAGAAACAAGGCAATTACGGAGAGGCTCGACGCGATGACGGCTGAGCGACGACACCCAACATGGAGAGCCGGAATCTCTGACTCGATGGATGGAATCTGGAGAAGCTTCGATTTCTCAACACCTGAGGCCTTGGGGAGCAGCGCAAGAAACCCCTTGGATCCACCAATGTTTCGTCCCCTCGGCGAACAGACTCCCGCGGCAACCCGAGTCAACATGACCGAGCCGCCTCCACTCCGTCGGAACTCAAGGCGACGAGCCGGCGAAGAGGAGAATGACGCGATCGACGTGGATGCCCAACAGAATGATGGAACCACGAACTTGCAACAAAACGACTCGGCTCGGCGAATAAGCCAAGAAGAGCTCGCCTCGGCACTAAACGACGTCCGGACTGACGAAATCACCGATCCGGCTCGCGGCGACAACCCGACTGAGGAAGAAGAAAACCTCCAATGGATCGAGCAGGCGGAACGCGAAGACGAGCCGAGGAGAGAAGAGCGGGAGCGACTCCCCCAATCAAAGGGAATGACTCACGCGCAAACCCTCGAAATCAAAGAGCTCCGAGCCTCAATGGCTCGGACAGTAACCGAGATACGCGCCATGAAGTCTCAAGTGCATAACGCGACGAGTGCTGCGCCCAAGATCGATCGGATGCTTGAAGAAACCCAGAGAACACCATTCACGGCGAGAATCACGGAGGCTAAGATTCCCGAGCCCGGGAAGGTGAGAATCCCTTTCTACGAAGGAACGACCGATCCGAAAGCACACATCACAGCGTTTCGGATAGCAATGGAACGAGCTTTCACAAAGAACGCTGCCAAACTGACCGAGCGGGAAATAGATGCCGGATATTGCTTGCTCTTCGTGGAACATCTCAAGGGAGCCACGCTCGAGTGGTTTTCGAGGCAGGAGCGCAATTCAATCGGCAGTTTTCAACAGCTCTCCGCCTTGTTCCTTAAACAATACTCGATGTTTATGGATAGAGGAACGTCTGATGCCGACCTGTGGACGCTATCCCAATGACCGAACGAACCGCTTTGGGATTACATGGAAAGGTTCAAGGCGGTCGTATCCAAAATAGAAAGAATAAGTGACAAGGCTGCACTCGAAGCTCTAAAACAGTCTTTGTGGTACAAATCCGAATTCCGACGGGAAATGGCACTCAACACGCCACAAACGATTCAAGATTCCTTGCATCGGTCATCAGACTTTGTCGTAAACGAGGAAGAGATGAAGAATCTGGACGAGCAGTACGAAGCAACGAAAGCAGCGATCCGAAGCTCAATTTTGACGCGCCCCTCGAAGAAAGGCAATCCATCAAACAACGCAACAACGCAGAGCTCGGACGAACCTAGAAGCGGAGGTGCCCATAACTACCAAGTAGGCACTGGACGCGGAAGAGGAGAGCCGCGCAACAACACTTGGGTAAGAAAGCCCACCAACTACGACGAAAAGGCATTCTGCGAGTATCACCAGATCTACGGGCATTCAACGGCACAATGCCGAACTCTAGGAGCAAAACTCGCTGCTAAGATGGCGGCGGGAGAGCTCCAGAACGCTTAACCTCAAAGACCTCGTCCCTAATGAACTAAAAGAAGGAGCTGACCGAGCAGCGCGGCACAACCCGCAAATCCTCCCCGACGGGGCTCCCCGACGGGGCGATAACACCAAGCGCGACAGGAGAGGCGAACCCGATGAGCGACCCGAGCCGAGGCAAAGGATCAACATGATCATGGGTGGATCTCAATATTACCAAGACACGGTGTCCTCCATCTAGGCTTATCAGCGCTGAGCCGAAGCGAAGGAAAATTGGACAGAACCGACCGATATCCCGAATATAGTGATCTCCTTCGCCGAGGAGGAAACGATAGGAATCGATAGACCACCCAATGATCCACTGGTGATCGAATTAACGATCAGGGATCACGATGTAGCGAGGGTGCTCATTGATACTGGGAGCACGGTAGACGTCATTTTCAGGGAGACACTCAGAAGGATGGGAATCAATCTCTCCGAGGTGATGGCGATCCCCAAACCTCTAACAGGATTTTCAGGAGAAACAACGATGATTATGGGAACAATTAGGCTCTCGGTGGTAGCTGGCAGAGTCACTAGGATCGTCGAATTCTGCGTCACCGATCACCCAGCGATCTATAATGTGATTATGGGAACTCCATGGATCAACGCGATGAGGGCGGTCCCTTCCACCTATCACCTCTGCCTCAAATTCCCGACTCCAGCAGGCATCAAAACGATATGGGGAAATCAGAAGGAGTCGCGAATGTGCTACTTAGCGGAGCACAAGCTGAGGAACCCCGTCACCGACGCACGAGCAGACATAGATCGCAAAAAGATGAAGACGGACCGAGAGCCTGCGAACAAGCTCTTGAAACTCTTATAGCAATTACAGATCGTGGAGAGCCGCGAAACGCGCGCCGAGCCGGTATGTGATGCGGTGGACTCGGTGTGCATAGACGATGAGCGCCCAGAACGATGCGTTGAAATCGGAGCAAAACTAGAAGAACCTCTGAGAAGCAAACTTCTTTCCCTCCACAAAGAGAACATCAACACTTTTGCCTGGACAGCAGAAGATATGTCGGGCATAAGCATCGACGTTACCTGTCACGAGCTGAACGTGGATCCAACCTTCAAACCAATCAAGCAAAAAAGAAGGAAGCTCGGACCCGAACGAGCTAAAGCAGTTAACGACGAAGTGGAGAGATTGCTCAAAGTAGGATCAATCGCCGAGGTCAAATATCCAGACTGGCTTGCGAATCCAGTGGTTGTGAAGAAGAAGAACGGCAAGTGGCGAGTCTGTGTAGATTTCACTGACCTTAACAAGGCGTGCCCAAAAGACAGTTTCCCTCTGCCACACATCGACCGGCTCGTCGAAGCCACTGCGGGAAATAGGCTGTTAATATTTATGGACGCGTTCTCTGGCTACAATCAAATCCTGATGCATCCTGATGATCGGGTAAAAATGGCATTCATAACAGATCGCGGGATATACTGCTACAAAGTCATGCCGTTCGGGCACAAGAACGCAGGAGCAACATATCAACGGCTCGTCAATAAAATGTTCGCGGATCAGCTTGGAAACACCATGGAGGTATACATCGACGATATGTTTCGCGCATCTACGAGGATCCTTCGAGCAGTTGAACAAACACAACATGAAACTAAACCCGGCGAAGTGCAGATTTGCGGTCACCTCGGGATAGTTTCTCGGCTATCTGGTAACTCACCGAGGCATTGAAGCAAATCCCAAACAGATCAAGGCATTAATCGAGATGCCCTCTCCAAGGACGAAGCGAGAAGTGCAAAGGCTCACAGGAAGGGTTGCTGCGCTAAACAGGTTCATCTCCCGTTCCACCGACAAGTGCCTGCCTTTCTACGATACCCTTCGGGGAAATAAGAAATTCGAGTGGGACGAGCGATGCGAAGCAGCTTTCCATGAATTGAAGAGCTATCTGGCAAGCCCGCCGATCTTGGCGAAACCAGTTGAAGGAGAACCTCTCTTCCTCTATATTGCCGTATCTGCTACAGCTGTGAGTGGGGTGCTTATAAGAGAAGAGCGATCCGAGCAAAAACCCATTTTCTACGTCAGCCAGACACTGACTGACGCCGAGACCCGTTACCCTCAGATCGAGAAAGTCGCCCTAGCCGTCGTAGTCTCGGCTCGCAAGCTGCGTCCATATTTTCAATCACATTCGATTGTTGTGCTCGCTACACTTCCGCTGCGCTCGATCGTGCACAGCCCGAGCCAATCCGGGCGGCTCGCCAAATGGGCCATAGAGTTGAGCGAGTACGACATCGAGTATCGGAACAGGTCATCTGCAAAATCACAAGTGCTCGCATATTTTCTCATCAAACTTTCGGCCGAGGCGACGAACGAGCCAACCCCAGACGAAGTATGGATGCTGCACGTCGATGGCTCGTCGTCTAAACATGGCTCGGGAATAGGAATCCATCTCACCTCTCCCACCGGAGAAATATTGGAGCAGTCTTTTCGCCTGAACTTCCACGCCTCGAACAACGAAGCTGAATACGAAGCGCTGATCGCCGGCATACGACTAGCGCAGGGAATCGGAGTCCGAAAGATAAGAACCTTTTGCGATTCACAGATCGTAGCATGTCAATTCAATGGAGAATACGAGGCGAAGGACGGACAAATGGGAGCTTACCTCAAGGTGGTCCGAGAGTTAGTGCAAAAGTTTGACGAGTTCGAACTCACACGAATACCCCGAGGTGAAAACACCTCGGCTGACGCCTTGGCAGCACTTGCTTCGACTTCAGACCCGGATCTCCAATGGACAATCCCAGTCGAATTCATCTAACGTCCCAGCATCGAAGAGGTAGAAGGAGTTCGGCTGATAAATCCTCCCGAGCAAGAACCAGACAGTGACGAAGCGATCGCTATGGATGAAGACGCCTCACTAGCCGAGCTGGAGTACGGCTGCGACAAAGAATGGCTCGGAGCCATCCGAGTATATATCGCCGACGGAGAAGTACCAACCGACAAGTGGGAAGCCCGCAAATTAAAAGCCCAGGCTGCACGATATATCCTCGTCGACGGCGAGGTGTTTAAATGGAGATTTTCAGGACCACTCATGACATGCATCGAAGGACCGGAGGCAAGAAAGATCATGCACGAAGTGCACAGTGGCGCGTGCGGAAACCATTCTAGCGGAAGGTCGCTCGCGATCAAGATAAAACAGCACGGTTACTTCTAGCCTACGATGGTCAAGGACTGCGAAAAGTTTACGACAAAGTGCGAGAAGTGTCAACGGCACGCACCAACTATTCACCAACCTACCGAGCTGCTGTCATTGATCTTGTCACCTTATCCTTTCATGAGATGGTCGATGGATATAGTCGGACCTCTACATCGATCGAAGCAGAAGCGCTTTCTGCTCGTCCTCACGGATTATTTTTCTAAGTGGGTCGAGACCAATTCCTAAGCGAGCATAAAGGATGCTCTAGTCGAACACTTCGTCTGGAAAAATATCATCTGCAGACACGGGGTCCCGTACGAGATAGTCACCAATAACGGATCCCAGTTCATCTCAACGCGTTTTGAAGCTTTCTGCGAGAAATGGAAAATCCGTTTAAGCAAATATACGCCAAGATATCCTCAAGGGAACGGACAAGCCGACGCAGCCAACAAGACGATCCTAGACGGTCTGAAAAAAGGTTCGACGCCAAGAAAGGAAGATGGGCAGACAAGCTCGAAGGAGTCCTTTGGTCGCATCGGACAACTCCGCGCCGAGCCACCATAGAAACTCCATTCGCTCTAGTTTATGGAGCGGAATGCGTCATCCCCCCCGAGGTGGATTTCCCACTTCTGCCAGGAAAAGAGGGCTTGAATCACTTAATGATGCTGGACGAACTCGATTTGGTCAACGAAAGGCGCGATCAGGCTCTAATCCGAATTCAGAACTCCCAACAAGCAACGGCGAGATACTACAACAAAAATGTCCGCAGTCGAATATTTAAAGAAGGAGAGCTCGTCCTTCGAAAAGTTTTCCAAAATACTGCCGAGAAGAATGCAGGAAAGCTCGGAGCAAATTGGGAAGGTCCTTACAAGATTACAAAAATAGTTCGCCCAGGAGTCTACGAACTTGCGACGGTAGCTGACGAAGCAATTCCAAGATCGTGGAATGCAATGCACCTGAAGAAGTATTATCATTAAGGCTACAACACGGTCAGCATGAATTACGGAACGGCTTGATCCCTGCAAAGGGTACGTAGGCAGCCCGTCTTCGGACGGGTTCAGCTGTCCCCCCTCCTAAAAATGGGGGGGGGGGGGAGTAGGTACGTATACACCATACTTACACCATTTCTTAAATTTTTAGCTCGTCAAGTCAGGTATCTCTAGATTTATTTCACTTCATTTTTTTTCGTTCACTTGCTTTCACTTCGGCTAGTCTTTTATTCACTTGTTTTACGTCGGCTAAACATTTTACTTGTTTTACAAAGCACTTTATTTTCATTGATCTTGCATTGCTTCGGCAAAGTTCTACTTTGGTATCCAAACACCGTACGCCTCGTCTCGTTGCTGGCCACAACGAGACAACAAATACAAAGTTCTCTAAACGGACTTTTACGACCTTTCCTAGGACGAGGGTGCAAGTTACATCCTCTATGGATAAAAATTAAGCGCGCTATACAAATTGCAGACCAAAAACGTATCGGTCGCCACAGTCCACTATCGCACACGAGATTATAAGTCAAGACTACATCGCTTTCTCTAAAACCAAAGTGAACTCTTAAAACCCGGCAAAACACACTCACCCTCTCTGGAATGCCGCTCTATAGTCATATTCCAAAGAGAACACTATATCCTCTTGAACTTTTGCCTCATCAATGAGAAACCCTGGGCTAACGCCTCGGCAAGAAAAAAACAGGCTCAAGCTAAACATTTTGGCTGCAACGCCCGACTCTTCCTCACGAACGATCAGTCTCACAAAGAGAACAAGGCCTATAAAACACATAACTCACTTGAAAAATACTTCGGCGTTAGTCGGAGATTCTTTCTCAAAACAATCTAAAACAGCTCACCTCAATGAGGACCTCTCTCAGTGATAGAATGGATAAATCTCAATGAATGGCCCGAAATCATCTTTGGTTAATAAAAAACAAAACGCCTCGTCGTTATACACGGCTCAGCATCATATGATGAAAACGCCTTGTCGTTATACATGGCTCGGCATCATCTAATGAAAACGCCTCGCCGTTATCATTAAACACGGCTCGGCATTGCCAATGAAAATCGCCTCGCCGTTATCATTAAACATGGCTCGGCATTGCCAATAAAAATCGCCTCGTCGTTATCATTAAACACGGCTCGGCATTGCCAATGAAAATTGCCTCGTCGTTATCGCTAAACACGACTCGGCGTCATCTAAACGAAGATGCCTCGTCGCCTATGCATTATCTTCGATCGTCACCTAGGCATCATTTTACTGTACTCATCGCCTAGGCATCACCTCGCCTTGTCGCCTAGGCATTATCTCGGCTCGTTGCCTAGGCATTATTTTTGCTCGTCGCCTGGGCATTATCTCTGCTTGTCGCCTAGGCATCATCTTGCCTTTTTCGCCTAGGCATCATCTTGCCTCGTCGGGATCATCTCGTCGCCTAGCCATCATCGGCTCGTTGCCTAGGCATCACCTCGCCTTGTCTCTTAGACATTAGGTCGGCTCGTTGCCTAGGCATTATCTCTGCTCGTCGTCCATGCAATATCTCGGCTCGTCGCCTAGGCATCATCTTGCCTCGTCGGCTAGGTGTCATCTTGTATCATCGCCTAGCGATCATCGGCTCATCGCCTAGGCATCATCTTACCTCGTCACCTAGGCATCCTCTTGCCTTGTCGTCTAGCCATTAACTCGGCTCGGCGGCTAGGCATCCTCTTTCGTTATCACCTAGCCGTCATCGGCTTGTCGCCTAAGCGTCATCTTGTATCATCGCCTATCCATCATCGGCTCGTCGCCTAGGCATCATCTTACCTCGTCGCCGAGGCATCCTCTTGCCGTATCGCCTAGCCGTTAACTTGGCTCGACAGCTAGGCATCCTCTTGCCTTGTCACCTAGCCGTCAACTCGGCTCGGCAGCTAGGCATCCTCTTGCATTATCGCCTAGCCATCATCTCGGCTCGTTGGCTAGGCGTCATCTTGCCTCGTCGCCTAGGCATCCTCTTGCCTTGTCTCCTAGCCATCGTCTCGGCTCATCTTCTAGGCACTGTCTTGCCTTGTCGTCTATGCATCTTTTGACCTTGTCGGTTTGGCATCTCCTGACTTAATCCAGTAACAAGCCGTATCTAGATCATGTGCGTCGGCGTAACACTCTCCCCCGACAATATCTAACACGCCTCAGCATTGTATTTTCTGGAAAAGTTTTAGTATTAGTCTTTCTGCGCACCGTAGCACTATGGGCGTCTTGTCATTAAGAACAGCATAGTTTTCGCAAAACGCCTCGTCGTTTATTTGGCTCATCACAGTTTTCGCGAAACGCCTTGTCGCTTATTCGGCTCGGCACAGTTTTCACAAAACGCTTCGTCTTTATTCGGCTCAACACAATTTTCACAAAACGCCTCGTCGTTTATTCGGCTCGACACAGTTTTCACAAAAATGCCTCGTCATTTTAAAAGAAACTCCGGGAAAAATAGTTCGCCTGTCCCTGTTATCAAATCGCCTCGCGTACACTCTTTCCCAAGGATATCTCATCAAGCAGCACAGACTGCGCCACGCCTCGCCTTTAACAAAACGGCTCAACATTATCTTTTATCTTGAAACGCCTCGTCGCTAAACATAGCTCGGCACTACGTAAACACCAGGTCGTAGAAAACAGCTCGGCGCTATCTTTGTCAAAGTAACCTCATCTTTTGAACGGCTCGGCATTTTCTTTCAAACAGCCTCGCCAAAAAACGGCTCGCTATTATGCTTCGTCGAAGAACGGCTCGGCATTTTTATTCCCAAAATGCCTCACCTGGAATTATTTCGCAACGGCCTAACTCGATGGTTTATCCCATGGCCAGGAGCAATGAACCTTGTCACTCTCGTCTCCGAAACTGACGAGCTGGGGGGGCGAACTGTTGGGGTCGGTTTCATCCGAAGCAGATAAAACCATCTCAAAAATGACTAAGTACTGGAGAAAACCGATTTGGCAAGAAGGAACAGCTGCCCGCCGAATATGGGCCGAGGCGTCCCACAAAACAAGTGGGCCGAGCTGTGCTCACCAAGATGAGTGGTCCAAGCCGTGGAAGAAGATAAATGGGCCAAGCCATGAGAAGAACAAAGAGTGGGCCGAGCTGAGCAAGAGGAAGAATGGGCCGAGCCGCTTTTCTTCATGTTGGGCCGAGCCAGTCCTTCTTTAATGAGATGAGCCAAGATCGTAAAGGATCTACGCCGACAAAAACCCTAGGCAAAGTGCTATGGCGGCGGCTGCACGAAGCGATAAGGAAATATTCCGAAAATCTTTCCCGAGATTCTCGGCTAGGCGATTCATAGACTCTATATAAATAGTCGCTGTAAACAATTCATGATGTAATTTTTCACAACTCGAGAGCAATAAGACTTAAACTTTTTCCAGCAAAAACCTTCTTTTGATCTTACTGTTCTTGCGATAAACCCTAGAAATTTCGGATCCCTTAAGTTTTCCTTAACAAATTTTTGGTTGTGCGAGTTTTGGCTCACACAAAAATTCTCAGTGCTGCAAGTGCATGGACGCAAGGATATTTGTCTATATCAAAACATCTGCATGAACAAGATTTGGTTTTCAAGTTCACCAGATAAGTCTTCCCATCTCCACCGACCACAGCATATTCAAGCAGAAACGAGTTCAGCTCAGTCACATTTAGGGACTGGCAATTTCAACTCTCCCGTGTAAGATATTTTTGACATAGGGAACCAGTTTATGTGCTCCAGGTGCTGTAGCAGCCTCCTTCCTATGTTTGTTACACCACTCAGATAGCTTTGCCAAGATGGCATCCATCATAGGTAATAAAGCATACTTCCTCGGATCATCAAACACGATGTTCATAGACTCTACACAGTTACTAGTGTTGATGTTGTACCTTTCTCCCTGAAAATAGCACCTAGCCCATTTTTCCTCAAGCAAACTATTACATAAATACGTAATTGCATCCGGATACCTTTCTGCCAGTTGACCATAAGCCACAAGAAACTCAGCCTCTGTATACTTCCTCGCAACTTCCATGAACTTGCCTACAACTAACTCTTTCTCTCTCCGAACGTTCCCTTTCACATTCTGGGCCAAATGATAAATGCAATAACCATGTTTAGCTTGCGGGTACACATCCCTTATTGCATTGATCAGGCTTACATTCCTATCGAAAACAAACACCAATTCAGATCTGTCAGGTATACGGGTTTTAAGTTTAGTGAAGAACCAATTCCAACTATCATTCTTTTCCCCATCAACTACCCCAAAAGAAAGGGGATAATGGTGATGATTCGGATCCTGAGCTGTTGCAAATACAAAGCATCCACCAAATCCATTCTTCAATAAAGTTGCATCAACAATTATCACTTTCTTCATTGCCGCAAACCCTTCAATGGTAGGACCCAGAGTGACGAATAGGTACTTGAATCTTCCTAATTCATCCACTTCAACACTTGATGTCGTACCAGGATTAAACTTCTCTAGCATGTACAAAAATACGAATGCAGATGCTCGAAACTCTCTTCTGGAGTACCTCAAACATAACTTATAGCTTTCTGTCTGCCTCTCCATGCCGTAGAGTATGATACATCCACACGACCTCTACTTTGAACCAAAACCATGATATCTTTAGGAGTTGGTGGTTTTAATCGACCTGGGTAAGTTTTACTAACAACTGCTGCAACTAACCCAGGTGTGCCTCTCCTTCGTTTGCTGCTAGTACATGCAGAAGCCCGAGAGCAAGAATGCATTTTCCTATATACTATAACCGTGAAAATATTTGACTGAGCTGTCTTAGCGGCATTTATATACCAGTTACATCCAGTTTCAGCTTAACTGTATTTCACATAGTATCGTTTTTTATCAGACTTGTGTACAATGATGCCAAAACAATGTTTATGAGAACCTCTGTAAACTAAATCTATTAGATCTTGCTTACATCTAAACTCTGCACCAACTCTCAGTTTCAAACCGTCAGCCCATTCACGTTGAATACGTTGTTCTTCTACACAGTCTGGAGGATCAACAATATCAAGCATTCGATATGTTTGACTTATGTCATCTTGATCGCCGCCGTTTTCCTCATACTCACGAGATCGATTAACACCTTCGTCATTCTCCATTACTGGCACATGTTGTTGTTCTTTTAAACCGTTTCCTGTGTAAATAACAATAGCACCATCATTAAACTCAGCATTGCCGACCAAAACGCCATCACTCGCTATATCATTAGCTGCGCTCACCTCCCTGACATTCACAACAATAGGACTTACCCTCTCTACATGTGAAACTTGCTCGGCCATGATGTGGTCTGCGATGAGGGTGTCAAATTTTACCCTAAATGAAATCAATAGCCGCAAATGCACAGCTGATCGATTGTAGTACATAGGGATCGAATCCACAGGGAATGAGGATCTTTCCTGCAAAAGCCTTCGAAAGAAATATAAACTAAGGAAGTCTAGAACCAGGCGATTTTTGTAGGGGTTTTGGTGGTGTCTTTAAAACGTAAAAACTAATCTTAACGAGAAAGTACGGGAATTAAGATGACCTAATAACTAAACTTAATGAAATCGACTAAAAACAAGAAAAACGGCTTAACCTAATTGCTTAAGTGAAACTCGATTAAGAGAATGAAAATGATGAACTAAAGCTTGAAATAAAATCGGTGTAAATCTATAGAAAAGAAGGCGCTGGGTCAGGGAAGTTTTCTCTGGGGTATGAACGATTCAAAACATTGCTAGAGAGTAAATTGGATAAGATCTTAGATTAAACTTTTCAAACTAGAGTCACGGACGTATGAATACGCCACTGTCGTGATCATAGACAACTATCTCTCTCAACCCTGACCAGTAGGTTTCCACTCTGGCCCTGGAAGAGAAAAAATGCATTATGTTTAAAACTCGTCAGCATTCACAAATCGTCCATAAGTATGTTTCCACTCCTATGTTTGTTTTACTTACCCAAACTAGATCTGACACCGGATGAACACTTTCGTGTCACCAAGCATCTGGATCAGATTGTAGTTCATGACGCTACTCTCATGCAGTAAAAATAAATTAAGAAGAAAAAGTTCTAAGATTCGGCTTCAATAGCTCATGGAATCCTCATTGAACATATGTATCCCCATCGAAAATCCCTTAGACCCAACAATAAAACTACTCAGACATGATGAACAAAATAGTATTAAAAAGTAAAGCAATAGTCGAAATTGGAAAAGAAAGAACAAGGGTTCAAGAGATAGATTTCTCTCTCCCTAACCCTAAAAACAAAAGCTTAAAGTAAAATTTCTTGTAAAGTATTTCGTCCCTCCTAAAAACGACCTAAATGATAAGTATTTATAGTCCCTAATGCTCTATGGTGTCTAGGGTTCTGGAATTGTGGCTGAGAAAATGATTTGGGCTTCAGAAATGGGTCTTCGAGCTCGGAGTTGGCTGGCCGTGGTCGGGAAGTGCTTTGACCACGGGGAATGGATGGTTGGCCGCGGCCGGGAAGCTTATAACCGTGGTGAAATGGCTGTTGGCCGCGGGTGGAAATACTTGCCGGCTGGTTTACAGGACATCTTTCTCTTCGCGTATCTTTTGATTGAACCGTTGGATTGCCAAGCTGTAAATTGTGCTGGAAAGCTGATACTTCCATCTTTGAGATCTCCAAATTTAAGCTTGATCAGACGGTGAGAAGGCCATCAATCGGGGGTTAACGTCTGACGGTTTGACTCTGAGCTAAAAATCTGGTCTTTTATCCATTTTGTTAAGCTTTTCCCTAAGTTTCCTGAAAAGAGTCTTGGAACTATAAATACTAGAAAAGGTAATAAAATACGGTGTTATCAGGACACCTCAGACACTCCATCTACATTGATGACCTCTACATACAAGACAATTCTGCGTCCCTCATTATCAAACGGCATCAGATAGATACGAAGATCATCGTCATCCAAAATATACCACTGTTTCTTCGTTTGCACTACTACCGGAATATAACTCAGTTTCAACTTTGTGGTTGATTCTCCTATCCCAACCTTCTTGCATATCCTACCCACTAAATCGGAATAGCTTATTTCCTCTAAGCTTGATGTCTTAAACATTATACCATACATAGAACCTTCTCTTGAAATCCATTTACCATCGGTACATGAATAATGTCCTCCATAATCAAACAATACGTTTGTTATCATTGTGTTCTGAATATATATATATATATATATATATATATATATATATATTTGGAAGCTCATAATTGAGATTGTCTTTTTCGAATAGTGGGAGTTCTTGAGTTGACATATATCTCATCTATTAAATACTGCACCGTAAACTTTATTCTCATTTATACCACTTACCTCTTTGCTTTTCCAATCAGCATTTATTTCTCACTTACCCAACTAACACAACAGTTATTTACCCTTTACTAATTATCAACAATCACAATCTTTCAAATTAACAACTATAAGTTTATTCCACTCTTTCTCTCCAACAACAGAGATCTCCTCCTTTTGTCGATCACAAAACTACAAAGCAACAACTGCGAAGACAAAGTCCGATTTCAAATATATATATATATATATACACTGCATATCAACTTAACTCATTAATACCAATTGTTCCGAGTTATACCTACTATATCCAAATTGTTCTAGTTATCCTGAATCGGCGAATTTGGTGTACCAACTAAATCACATTACGATTAAACCTCACCAGTCAATTAAAAGAGCATATACGACCCAATGTGAATAAAAAAATGAACTCTCCCCATTCTGAATTGCCCTATTTTGTAAATCGAAATTATATCCAAAACCCAATTGTTACTGGGCAAAATCGAATCATTTAGCGACTTCACAAGAAAATACAGAGGCCGAGGATGAAGAAAAACTTACCTCGTCCTTCGGCGTTGGAATAGAGTAAAAGCCCGTCGAATTGCCCGAATTAAAGTGGAGAGGAGATGTTGCATGCAAACCCAGGAAAGTAGAATAAGACCAGAATCGACCTGATTTCTGATTGGCTTAAAATTTGGTCCGAAATGTTTTAATTGGTTGAAATGTCCCTATTTTCTATTGGTCGACATTTCCCTCCACCACTTTTGATTGGTTGAAACTAACACTTTTGATTGGTTGAAATTATCAAGAATCCCAATTATTCATTTTAGTTATTGCCCGAACATTATGGAGCCTGGGCTTCTTGTTGGGCTTTTCCATTAATGGAATTGTCGACAAAAAGGGCAATATGGGAATAACAAGTTTCATTAAAATGTTTTTATTGGCTGAAATCTCCTTCTTTCCTATTGGTCGACAATTCCCACCAAGACTTCTGATTGGCTGAACATTCTTAATTCTCATTGGTCGATTTTTCATTTTCCTAATTCACAATTAAGAATAATATAGGGATAACACATTTCATTAAAAGGAAGGGGGACCACCGCTGATATGAGAGAATAACTTTGGCAGGGTAGAATAAATCATCACTACTTACTAGTAGACGAGAATTTCTCCCACTTGCAATTTTCTTGGAAATATTATAAGAAACTCTTGTTTATCATTCATTCATGAATGAATGACCCAATTAGTTACCGTAACAGTCTCAATTGATCTCTATCCTTTTTTTTTAAAATAGTATAACTTACTAAAATGGTTTAAAACATTTTTATTGGTAAGTGATAAACAAGAGTTTTTGCAATCCCCTTTATCTGTTGCAGTATAAAAGGTTATCAACCCATCATGTGAATTTAGTTCATAGTCTATGAGATTTGAATTTTAATCTAAGCAAACAAAGTAGGTTGGTTTTTTAATAAAGATGAAATGAAACTAAACAAGATTAACAAGATGATTAAAGATAAACAAAGCAAAGCAATAACAAGATGATGATATGAATATTATGGGAAATAAGGTTCTAGACATGATAGTTGATCAAGGTGCATTAGTGTTAAACTAGAGAGCTAATGACAATCAATCAAGTATAATCAATCTAGAACTCAAACATAGACTAATTCTCTCATGAATGTATTAATCTCTATACTAAACTACTTTCAAACCTAATTCCCATTAGTGAAATACGAATCAGTAAGCATTACTAATCAGCTCTAATATATCATTTATGCATTAGACAATCATTACTATGATGAACAAAGCATAAACCTCTAGTTAGCTGGTTCAGGCATTTCATCAAACACTTTTTGGGTGGTGAAATGCCTAAGCTCTAGACCAAAGTGATTATCAGAGATCTAGCATTAGGAATTACTAGTTAGAGAAAGGAAAATGCATGATCTAACTCCTAAACTCCCTAATCTAACACTTTTGCACCATAATATATATATATATATATATATATCTTGAACCTTATGAAAAGACTACTCACTTATCATAATCATTGCACTTAATCCTTGCAAGATGTGTTGTTGATCATGATTAATATTAAGAGATGAGCAGAAAAGATAATAAGTGATAAGAAAATACTCTTGATTTGATTTAAACCTTAAGATATCTCTTAACACAAAGATTTTTTCACAAAAGAGGCAAAAGAATAAATATGGATAACTAGGGTTTTAACCCCAAAAACTATTTATAGACCAAGCTCTAGACCAGGTCA